CAGTAGATCATATATCAAAGTTAGCTTAGATGAAAATGTTACACCCAAAAATTATCTAAAAGAGACATGATTCTTTTTCTTTTCTGCTTTTGTTGAAGGAATCTCACCTCTGAAATAAATAAATAAGTAAAATGTTAAAATGACAATGAACGCCTTTGAGGACAACTGCAGTGAAACCCCTTAGTGACTTGACAGCACAAATTGACAGTACGCTTTCAAAAACTGACTGCTGCTGTTTGCTGAAGTGTAAAGTGTCTTTAAAGTCTTTGAATAAAAACTCAGAGGACACTCTCGATGCTATAGTGTTATTGGCCATAATGATCTTCCAACTCGTATCCATTCCATGATTACCTGTTTTTGCATTCAGTGTACACGTTTTGTTTTGCAGTGTCACAGAAAATACTATTTCCTGTGGCTGTTATTTAGATGAGAAGACACTTATTTCTGTGTTCTCTGACGTTGTATATTTCTTTCCCCCTTTATAACTGCATTTTCTTCACAAGTAATTTACTATTTTAGTTCCGCAACATCTTGAAAAAACTGGATCATTGTACATCTTCTGCCTTCATTGGGGAACTTGAGATTTGTGTAAACACTAAATAACTACCCCTGTGTTGTCTGTGTGTTTTGTGGTATTTGTAAAGCTTTTGTAATTGCCATATGTCCTGTATATTGTATGTGTTTTTGTGGTTTAAAATAAGAGATGTTCCATTTGTTGTTTGTATTCAAACAAGTGACAGGTGCTGTTAGTGTCTGTCATGTGTATCCACTTCCCACTGGTGTGCACATTCAGAGCTGTTTAAAGTGTGGGCTACGTTTGTCTACTAAAGAAAAGGCCAAAACAGAGGGCTGACAAGCTATGAATTATATAAACGTGCGACAAAATGAGAGGAAAAAGCTTTAGTGATATGACAATCTACCATTAACTTGTGTCTTTTAATGAAGACTAATGTATTCCACACTTCTGCAGGGATATTTGACTGCATGTTTCATTCTTTGTCGCTCATGGGAGTTTTACGTACACAAAAATGTTCTGAGGGCAGAATGAAAAATGAGGAGGTGGGTTCAAGCAACTAGAGGAGGAGAGACCGACCAATGACATGTTTTGGTCCTGCCTCCTCAAGTTGCTTGGCCCCACTCCCTCTACAATCTGATTGGTAATCTCTCTGAACCAGTCATTTTTAGTTCTGCCCCCAGAACATTTTTGTGTAAGTAAAACTCCCATGAATTTCTTTGTCTCACTTGATTCACTTCTTCCATGTCTTCTGTACATGGATAAATGTGTATATTGTAGCCCCTTTTTACAACAAATGAGTCATTTTTTATTTAAAATAAATAAATATGCTTTACAATTAGACCTGCATTTGAACACAGATCTATAGCAGCCAATTTTTGTTATTTAAAATTTGATGGTAGGGGGTGGGAGTAATGGAACAAATTTTCATGTTGTAGAAGATATCTCCCTAGGTGTAGAACTTGTGCATTTGGATAGAAGTTAATTAATCTAGAGATTTTCCTTCAATTCCAAACGAATTTGACCTTCACTTTTTCACTGCATTCGCATGTACAAGAAATAACGTCGTAGTGGATCCTAAGCAAATTTTTCGAGCTGTTATTTTTTTTAACACCTGACATTTTCACAGAGTATTTATGCATATGTATGATAATGATTGTAGTACTTTACCTAAATTAGAACCTTTGTTAAATTCATACCAAGCAAAGAGCTTTATTAAGGATTTCAGAGCTTCATATTGCAAGGTCTTTGCTATATTGATTAGGAACTAGATTTTGTAGAACGGTGTAATAAAATGCTGTTGGGTCGTACTGAAATTATTCACCACAATCATGTCACAGCAGTGTAAAGTACATAGCTAACTAAGCAATGAAGACATTCGGCACATTGTAGCATTTATAAAATAAATGAAAATAATTCCTCACCCTTGTTCAGTAGTAGGAAAAATGTCTGGAATTGATGCTATTTATTACAGCATGGTATATACTTGATAAGATTTGTAAGTATGTATGTATGTATGTACTGTACATATGTACATATGTATGTACCTGTAAATTAATGTCATTGTTTGTAGTAAAAAGGGGAATATTACAGCATCGATCGTATTTCATTTTTCAAATTTTCTTGGTTAATGCTTTGGCTTGTTTATATGTAAAACTGGATGTTAACTGTGTGTTTTGTGACTCACCCCCTATATCATATAAAATCTTAAGCTTCCCTGTTTCATTTCTTTGATTTGTATGCACATAATATTTTTAACTTCTGTTGTGAAGAATGCAAAGGATTATATTGCTTAAATGCTTAAATTCATATATAAATCGTTAACTTTAATTGCTTTATCTCATATAAATACCCCTCCAGCACTCAACCTTCTAGAAGGCCACAGTAAGAACAGCGACCTGGTTAAATTAGCCCAGGGGTCTCCAACTCCGGTCCTGGAGAGCTACTGTCCAGTAGGTTTTCTGTCCCACTTGGCTTCTGATGAGCCAGACCTGCTCCTGGTATTTACCTGAGAACATGTGTGGTTCATCAGAAGCTTGGTATGAACCTACTGGATGATAGCTATCCAGGACCGGAGTTGGAGACCCCTGAATTAGCCAGTTTCAAATACTGCTGAGTGAGAGTGTTTGTTGATGAAGTGGCTTTGATATAAACATACAGTAGGGTCCACACAGCACAGTTGTAGATTGAAAGAATATTATGTTCTCTTTTTCTCATCAAAAAATCCTGTGACACTAGCAACTTAGGTGCACATAGTATTCATTTGCATTCTTAGCATAATCACTTGGTGATTAAAAATAAAGAGACAATAAAGCTGAAATTTGAAATATCCGATCATTAATTGTAATTCTGGATGTTTATTATATATAAACGTTGGTATTTGAATAGATTTTTAATTGATTTTGAGCAATTCAATGGATATCATGGATAAATATTTTTTAAATGACAGTCTGACTCCAGAAAATGATTTTTTTTTTCCTGTCGTAGTATTTTACGCAAAGTTTGCTCTTAAAACAATTCAGATTGACTAGTGGGAGATTAGTACTGCTGCTAAGTGTTAATTACAGTTGTCTCAGTATCAAACAAATGTTCACCAATTACCAAGCTGTTGCTGAATCTTCTAGAATCTAGAATATGTGTGATATTGCCCTATAGAGGGCGCTGCAAAGTTAGTTGTTATTTTTGATGTTGTACTGTAGGGACATGGAGAACGAGGTCTAACAAACTCATTATACAAATGACACTTGTCTGAAAATATGTGAGCATGTCTCCAAAGCTTTTGAAAAGAGTATTAGCCTGATTACCCTAGGGAGCAGAATTCAGAGCGCACAAAGCATGCAATGAAGTGGAATTCAGTGACCTGACTCTGTGTCTGACAGGAGGCCCTATGCTTCCTGCTCTATGCTGACACCTGCTTCAATGCAGATTAAAATATTCAAGCCAGTCAATCCTTACTGTGGCCTTCTGGGAGGTGGAGTGCAAGAAGGAGTGGCTGTTGTTTTTAGTGCACCCCCCAGTCCACCGCAATAGGTACAATTATCAGCTTAATTTAGGGCAGTGTTTCCCAACCCAGTCCTTGGGGAACCCCGGACAGTCCACGTTTTTGCTTCCTCTCAGCTCCCAGCACACCTATACCAGGTTTTCGGTGTTCCTGATTGGCTGGGAGGGAGCAAAAACGTGAACTAAAGACTGGAGTTCCTCGAGGACTGGGTTGGGAAACACTGATCTAGGGGATTACAGACATTGGTACAGCATACTTTTGGGGCTAGTTTTAGTGGGTTTGTCAACACTGGGTTGTCGTTTAAGGCTTTGCGATTTATTACCTTCATATTTAATTACTAAAAAGCCATTTACTATTTATTGATACATCCAGTAAATCAGATATGATTAATTGTTCTTTGTGTTTTTATTGGGTTTTGTAGACAATAGATTACGGTACATGTTAGATTGATGTAAGCAATGTCCCTGTAGTTACACTGATGGCCTTGGTCTTTGCCAAATTTCTATTATATTGGGTATCACCTCTTTTTATCTTTATTGATATTTTTGTGGTTATGCCAACACCTGGGGTGTCCCGCAGACGTGGGTGTGTTGCGTTGCCTTTTTTGTTTAAGCCAGCGAGCTGTCAGAGACCTGCATGTGACCTGAGCCAATCGCTGTGCCATCCCTGCACACCGATGCTGCCACTCACGCCACCCAGTGGGGAGCCTGCTGAAAAGCAGGCGGTTATTGCCCCCCTCCCCCAGGTTTCACCTGTTTTGTTTCTGCCCCACGTTAAATGTGGTTTTTTACCAAGCCATTACATTTTTCCATTTCGATTCTTAGTGCCCGATACTGGCATTACTGGTTCCAGTGCACTCAATGCTACTGTATTGCTATGGCTGCTTGAATACACATAATATGGACACGAAACCTGCATGCACTAATTAACCCTTAAAGTACTGCTTCTGCAATTATGTTGCAACTCTCTTGAAATTATAACTCTCTAAACTATTCTCTTTCTTACTTAAATGTCAGATTTGAAAAAAAATCTGTACTCTCACATGTCAGTGTAACACACATTAAAGTTTATAAGTAATTTCTGTGTGATAAACTTTACTTATACAATTATTTTTAAATCACACTTTAATTTCAGAACTTGTAACTGCTCCCTTCCTCTGTCTTTTATGTAGTTTGAGACATTGTTCTATATGAGCAATTCAGTTCTTTAAGGGTTAATCTGGGGTACCAAGATGTATTGAAATTACATGCCTGTATGAATATATATGCATGATTTTATTCTTTTCTACAGAGAACAGTCTTGACAAAATCAGTGCACCTCTTATAAATGTTTTATTTCTGTTCAGAAATTGTTTTTAATAGCATTTCCAGGAAAGAAGAATGCATCTTAAATTGTCTGATAACAAGATATTGAACAGATACAAAAATTCTAAAACAGTGCACATTAAATGCTAAAATCTCTCTTTCATTGTTGTTGTTTTAATAGCCCCATAGAGTCCTGTCAGAATTTCTACGAAGATTTCACGTTACAAATCGACATGGCTTTCAACGTCTTCTTCTTATTGTACTTTGGTCTCCGCGTAAGTACAAAATGTCCTAAAAATGTATAAGATGGCTTTTTGGCCTGTCAGCTAACTGAAGACTGAATAAATATTTTTTCAGAAAGTCAGAATTTATCTGAGATTGGTAGGAAGTGATCGTAGGCATTTTAAGTGCTTAGCGAAAGAAACTCTCTCTGCTGTCAACATGATTTGTTTCCCACAGTTCATTGCAGCCAACGATAAGCTCTGGTTTTGGCTGGAGGTGAACTCGGTTGTGGACTTCTTCACGGTTCCACCAGTGTTTGTGTCTGTGTATTTAAACAGAAGCTGGCTGGGTAAGTCCCCCCCCCCCCTTCCCGCCTTGTTTGGGCTTTCCTGTTTGAGAAATTACTTCCTGGGGTGTGAGTCAGCGCTCGCCTCGCATTGAAAGTGATGATGTAGAGCACCACTGTCATCACACAAAACACAAACGAATCGCAGGGAATCTATAGAAATCTGTAAAAAGACCAGGGGCAGGTGATGTCAAAATAAATAAGTGAAGCGTGCCGTTTCAAGACTGTAGGAGAACAGGTTCTGCTTACCCTAATGGACACTGTGCCCCGTATTGGGTCAGTCTTTGGGAAAATGAAAGGATGTCTGAATGGTTGTTTAGTTGTAGACAGAATGGGGGTAAGACAAAAGTTACCTCTTGGAACTGGATCTCAATGTAGCGCGATAAATTAGAGAGCTGATATACCGAGTTAAAGTTTTATAGCGCTGTTTATATTTGTTTGTCAGATTTTTTTGCATGTAACCAGCTTCAGTCTTTTTAAGTATGTAAATCATATGGAAATTCCGTGCTATCCATGCACATCTGTATCCATGTTTTGTGTAAATCATTCATTTTTGGAGTACAAAAGTCTCAAATGAAACAGTTTTTTTTCCCTTTTATGTTCTATTATTCCAGGGAGTGTGTGATAGGACATTATGCTGGACCATTTATAATATATCATAAGTATATGTCAATACAAATGGTTTCATTCTTGTCCTCACGATGGTACTGAGGGAAGCGTCCTGGGTTGCAGGTTTGAATGTGTTTGTTTTATGATTTACTTCCAGGGTGTGAGTTTTGACACTCCTCCAGTGCGTTTTCTCCCACAATGTACGTAGCATATGCCCGCCAGAGTAAAATGGTTGTATTTGTGTCTGAGTATCCTCTGTGGAGTTCACCCTAACTTTCCCACCCGTTATTTGTAGGATGGCCTATATATTATCATACCCTCTAATTGGATAATTGGTTATTGAAAATTCCCATCCTATTCCCATCCGCCTTCCCGTTATCGGTTATTTTTGATTTGCGGCGGATCCCTCTGCTGCGCCTGCATGTCCGCGTCCCCCCTGCAGGACACCCAGAGGCTCACAACATGGCCACTGGTACTTCTGCTCACTCCACTAATGGATTTGGCTCGTACTCTTGCGTCCTCTGTAATTCACAAAGCTTATTTGTCTCCTGATAGTAACGATTTTCAGTCAGAGTGAGTCAGCATCGGGAGGGAGATGCGGAAGAAGTGCAGCGTCAGGGGGATGCAGGAACACGCTGGCCGGGGTGGCCACGGGGCACATGGACACACATCTCTGTCGGGGAGCTCTGAAAGGCCCCGGCGCACATTCCAGCAAGATGACATCATCAAAGGTTCCTGCCTCTGTGCCTTATGCTGGCCACAGAACCGGGCTGCTCCAAGGCCCAATGAAGCTGTGTACTCTCTGGGCGAATTTAGCGTGTGTGATATGTTAGTGCAACAGGTGGTGTTTTTAAGGAACCTGAAAGCAGCCAATTAAAGCCCCAACCCAAGTCCTGCTAGAGCAGTATTTAGCATCAGGGGGGGTGGTGGTGGTGATTTATTGCTCTGCAACCCGGATTAGCTACCTGGGAATGTCAGACCCTGCTTTCTTAAAAAAAAAAAGTTGCTTTTGATTAAAATGTCTGCTAAATACATTAAGCGTATTAAGCTATATACGCTAAAGCCTGAATCACTTCAGAATTGCTTTCGTGAAGTGTTGGTTAAGAAATAACGTTAATGTTTTGCGTACCGAAAAATAAGGTCCCTATAGGTCAACATTACCTGTGATTAACCCATCTGCCCCTTTATTCACTGGGTTCTATGTTGCCGTCAACCCCCACCCAAGGAAACGGGAAATCTATCCATCGGCTTAGTCAGCGAGCAGCAGCGATTCGTGATTTTAGTGAACTTTGACAGTTGGGATTATTCGCACAGAAATTCTAACTTGTACTGTAATCCCGCTATTATTTAAATAGACTGATTCCCTCAAAAAAATAACATTTTTGTTGGCTTCCGGGGAAATGCCTTCATGGAAGGAGGAACAATATAGTTACGCGTGTTTCTGTACAATTACAATATACAGGTCAAGTGCTTCCTAAAATTAATATGTAAATAGGATTTCTCACAAATGCCCTGCCAGAAAATGTCTAGAATCAGAATATTTGCATTTTTTTTACAACTTACAGTTTTTCCATATGTTCATAATTATCATATTTTTATTTGACAAAACCACTTTTGTTCCAGACACACAACTATTCCGCTGCATGACTACTTTGACCAGAGCTTCTCATTTGAAATGATCAGTATCTCCACACATGTTTATTTTTGGCTTTGCTAACCAAAATACAAATAAGTTCAGTTAATTGTGAACTCATGTAATACGTACAAGTCTGGCTTTTGCTTTCTACTGAATCAATTGAGTTCTTCTTAATCGAAAGTAAACACATCGAATCACATGACGTTGGCAGTAATGATTAGCCATTAGAACTGAAGCCATTGAAGACTACAGATTTTCCATCCACAGGAAATCGTTGAAATGTCAAGGCTGGTTTGGGCATTTGTACTGTATATCAGTCACTTTTAAGAGCTGTGACTGCTTATTAAAAGCTCTACCACTGAAGTAGTTTAATCTGGAGCTAGCTAAATCATTGGCTTCCTAATCCCCATGACAGGTGAACAAAACAAAACTTTCAATGCTACGCACTTGCAATTTTTCCATTGTGTATTTAAAAAAATGCAGCATTAAGAGGCACAGTTATTATAGATCATCAATAATTTACGTTAATATTGTGTTTTTACTGACTAACACAAATAGTAATGCATAGCAACAGCAAAGCATATATAAAGGTTTATTATGGCAGAAAGTAGTAAACAAGTTCCCTGATGTGAGAATGTTTCTTAATAATTGCTGCCACCTTGTGGCTGTTTAATGTAGTGCTATGCTTTTTCGATTAATAGTCCCTTCGTGTTGGACTTTTTCTTAAACAAAATATTTGAAACATAGCAGTTCTGTAATGATGTTATGAACATTAGGTTGCAATAAAACATCTCACTATAGTATGTTTAGTTGTGCAAAAGCCAGTGAAAGTTGGGATATTTCATGAATATTCAGACTAGCTAGCTAACAGTTGTTAACCGGCGCACAGAAACGCTCGCTTCGGTGGATGCAATTTATGATAGCAGCTGGCCGTAATCCCGATTAGATGGACTGTACATTATCTCCTATTAATACCTCTGTCCTCCGTTGATTGAAAAATATGCGCACATCCTGCCCGATTGAGCTGTGCAGCGCTTGACCTGCTTTGGCCGGACCGTGTCGACTTTCAGTCCATGCTCCTCGCAATAAATCCACTGTGATACTTACAGTCAGGTTCTCTTTGGGAATTCATTATTTCCATCAATCTTCTATCTTAATTTTCATGCACAAGGCAAATGCTTAATTGACTTAATTATTTAATGAAGACTGGGGGTAAGCTAGTGTCCCCAATGGCTACTGTCAGCTGGCAAATATCCTGTCCTGTAGACAACACATTATGGCATAATTAATGCAGATTATACCAATCAATTCTTCAGCATCTGTTATTTGTATATTTTTGTAAGTAATTTATACATTATCTTTTGCCCTACTGATGGCACTTTAATATTAATATTAATTTTGTGTTTGATATTGAATATTTATTGATTTACTTGTATCTCTTTGTACCCCAAAGACGAGAAAACAAATTAGCATTCGTAGAAGGTATAGAAACCTTCAGTTATGTGTTGGGTATCTTTACCCACCATCTGCTTCTTTTCATTTTCAATGGGACGTTTTCAGTTTCAGAACAGATAGTAGCTCTCAATCTAATGAATCACTTGTGATTAATTCAGAATTATCATTATTATTTTTTTCCCTTCTAAATCCCATGAAGAGTTCGGCAACTACTGAAGCTTTATAGGTGGCTTGGAAAGCATGCAGCCTGTTATCTATTAACTGATAATCAGAATAAAAGAATTAGAACCTGCCAGGAAGAGAAAAGAATAACATCGAATGGTGAAGTACCAGACTGTTGCACAGTGAGCAGATAGCGAGATAAAGAGCTTGGTATTTGACCTTTTCCTTGGGTGATTTCTAAAGGAGATTAGGATGTAATATCCTGATGGAAAAAGCTTTTTTTTAAAGTCAGTACATGACTGATTGTAACTGGGAGGGCATGAGTATTTGCATTAAATCTGGTCGTGACGTTTTCTGAAGAGCATTCATTTTTGCTTTTCCCGTGGACCAAACCACCTGTCCACCAGTCTGCTGTGTTGCTGCGTTACTTTAAGAAGCAAAACTGAGAGACAGTCCTGCACATCGCGTCTGACAAGAAGTGAGGCTGGGAGTCTGCCGTGATCTGGCGTTGCAGGAAACTCCTCCAGCGGTGCCCGCGCTTATCGTGAAATTGGGGAGGAAGGTCTTAACGAGCCAAGTGGAAGCTCCCATGGGCATCTGAGCATCTCAAGTGATCGTTATTGCCCTCAGATCGTTATTGCCCTCAAATCATTATTGCCATGATTCCCACCAAGATCTTAGTATACAGGGAGCCTGATGGAGGCACGAGGACAGAGGCTTTTCATAGTCCCAGGAGACGTAAGAAATCTTGTGGGGACTTGTTTCAGAACGGCTATCGGGTCAAGCCCGTCCATGAGCAGGTTACAGATAAGGAAGACCAAGACAACCTCCGTCATTCCCTCTCCTCCTGCTTCCATGTCGTCTCATACTGGGGTAAGGCCTTAAAGGTTAAAGAGCAGCTCTGATTCCCTGCTGTCAGTGCTCGTGCTGGGTATTGCCCTGCTCATGTATGTGCTCCGGTGTCATGGTAGTGTTTTATTATTTAATAATGGATATAAATTTTGGACTATGAAAGACAGCTACAAAATAATTTACACTTCAAAAGTAAGCCTTGGACAGAAAAGAATCAGTTTTGGTTCTAGATTCTTTCCTTTCATGCTTTCATCTGTGATTGTTTGAACAACAGTTGTGAAAGATCCCCTCCTGCTATCAATGGGAAAGACTAACTATAGACAAGCTGTTATATATTTGTGGTTAAAAACCAAAGACAAGGAGGTGTTATATAAAAACATATATGGTCTATAAACTCTCCTGATTTAGTGGGGAACAAACCAGTTGATGTGTGTCACATTGTCTCATATGTGCCAAAATCCACTTAGCATTTTCATAGTATACCTGAATGCAAGTCCGGTGGAGTCGGTTGGATTCATAAATGATGTATGAAGCAGAATCGGGGCCATTCCAGAATGCATTTATCAATTCCAATCCAAATCAGGAAATGGAACTGGAATTGATGGATGCATTACGGAATGTCCCCAACCCTGGTATGAAGTGCAGAATTGTGCTGCTTTACTTTCTGGAACCTTTTGCACTGTTGCGATTGTACAATGCAGTGCTGATCGCAACATTTGAAGGCTGGAATAAAGATGGTATAGAAACTTCCTCATGATTTCACTGCAGAAAATGAATAGGAAACCCCTACCAGTTTTGTGTTTTGTTGCGCATTCTATTCCGGTTGCTCATACTGTAAATGTTAAGCTGTGAGCATTTTTCGGTGAATGGGCAGGTGTGTGGAGTACACAAAGGCTTGCAGTCAGCTTTCCCTTCCTACTTCCATTTAATCTAAGTGTTTTTGTGTCCCTTGCTGTCTGGTAACAAAATAATTTTGCTCAATAAAGTTTTTCATATCCACTGGAAATCTCCTTAGCTACAGGCCAGTGTCTTTCAATCTGCTCCTCAGGGACACACAGACATGTTTTTGCTCCCTGATTAAAGTTACGACAAAGTAAATCACAATAAACATGTCAGGCAACAAAAGAGTTTTTTTTATTATATTATTTTTTACCAAGCCACCGAAGGAGCAAAAATGTGCACTGTCTTGCAAGGAGCTGGGAGGGAGCAAAAACATGGACTGACTGTGGGTATCTGAGGACTGGATCGGGAAACACTGCTATAGGGGATTTGTATTTAGGGTGTATTTAGATATAGTACAATAAAATGGGTAGTTATTTTTAATTTTTAAGGTTTTCCAGTTTAAGGCATTTTTTGCCTGTTCTTTTCTTTAAGTGGATTATTTTTTAAGATAATGAAAACAAACAGTTCAAAAAGGATTAGCAATCTAAAGATACCATTAAAGTTTTGCTTAATTTGCTCCTAAATATTTACTCACTTCAGAAAATAAATTGTTTATTTATTTGTTTATTTTCTGTTACAGGTGGTCTGATGTAGTTCTCTGATTAAAGATGTTTGATAAAGGTGATGGTTAATTTCTGCTCGTTTGTTCTCTTTCATGCAGGTTTACGGTTTTTAAGGGCCTTAAGGTTGATACAGTTTTCAGAAATTTTGCAGTTTTTGAATATCTTAAAAACAAGGTAAGTATATTTAATTCCAGTATATTTAATGCCAGATTGTTTATTTGCGGTATTCTTGTATCCAAATGATTTAACTTTATAGCAATGTGAATGTATCAGACCCCATAACAAAGTTTCTGTCTTAACAAATAAGGATGGTGGCAATGGATGGATTGATGGATTGTTGTAATGTACTATTCACAGAAGAAAATGCATTTGCCATTTTTTATGCCCAGATCATAACTTTTTAAGTTACTTTCTTAGGTAAAAGGTTTATTTAAGTCTCTGTCTTATAAGTCAGTGCAGGTAACAGCATGAAAAATATCTGCGGACCAGTGCACCCTGCAAATTTACTGGCACAATACAAATCTTTATTGTTTTTAGCATTCTCTCTCGAAACAGAAAATACTCTTTTATAAAACATTCCCTCAGATTACTGTACTTTTATGATGTTTTCTAAATCCACATTTACTAGCTTGTTATTACCCTCTCTGCGCAGTGCAAGTTATCGCAATGCTGTTGTTTAGATCTGCTATATGCTTTTTAAATGTGAACAGTTTAAATGAAGATTAAGTGCAACCATTATCAGCCCTTAGGCTTGCAGCAAAGGTACAATTAAGAAGGAAATGCATTGAGATATATAGAGGAAATCTGAATCTGAATTTCCTGTATTGTAATTTCTTTATTGTTTATAAGCCTTTTATTGAATACGGTGGATCTCTAACAATCTCTGTATTACTCAGAATTAACGTTTTAGCACAGATGTCATGAAGAGCTTATAGGTCGGCACAGTGCTTCTCGGTAATCCTCAGTGAGCTGCATGACTCTACAGTAGCTAAGATAGCTGAGGTAGTACCTCATTGAACTGTAAACCCTGCCCCCAAATTTATATAAATATATCTAAATGTCCTCTTTTTTCCGTTTCTACCTGTAATGTTTCAGTAGGTCTCATCACGGCGTGTTTTTGCGTGATGCATGCCTTGGGCCGGTTTCGTGACGGTGGTGTTTGCAGTATTACAAATGAGGGACATCACGGCTAATGTGGCTCACTAAACGTTAACTATTTCACATTAGTTCTTGGCAGCCTGCTTGATGAATTTGTTAGGGTAGTGCTTCGCTAGCTGTTGTGAATGATGAAGTAAAGTAAATTATACTTTATTTGCCATTTGTACAAGTATGAGCACTTAGGATTTTTGCATTCCTGTCTTGCTCAGAGATACTGCGTGTTTCTCTGTGTTCACAATCTGCGATGGATTTCTTATAACACAATCGTATTATTTTTTTTTACCAGTAGACATGCATCACACAAACTTACCATAGTGATCTGCTAACAGATTTCATTCATCCATTAAGATAATGAATTCTGTGAGGAAAGTTTTTTTTGCTCCCAGCTGTGCATTAAAGCTAGGTATTTATTTTAAAGCATGTTGGGTATTTATTGTTAAGCGTGCTCAGCAGTGTTGACTGTGGTGAGACACATCCTCATTCGACATGAACACACAGTCATCTAGCTGTTTCCCTCCTTTGCTGCACTTCCTCTCCTTTGCCACCAGGGCAGAGTGAGGTCACTAGTCTTCCTCATTCAATAGCGTCAAGGCATGTCAGACTCTCAAATGTGGCTGATAGGCCACAGACTCCAGATGGTTAACAGAATGAGCACAGAGAGGCATGGATTTTCCCAACAACAATTTTCCAGTCCCTACTGTTACGTAAAAGTCAACGTTTAATCTATATCCATTTAATATCCTCTTTCCATTGTGGTGAAAATCCGTTGCTCTTAATCCCCAGAAATTCCCTGAATGTTGTTGTGTATTCTTAATGAAGTCAGAGGAGCATACTCTAAATATGTTCTAGCTATTATCAATGTCTGGCTATTACAAATTCTTTCACACATGTGTCTGCTAAATTTGATTAGTCTGTAAAAAAATGTAATTTACCGCATGTATTACTCTTGTATGTGTTTTAGCATGGATGGGCATCAACGACATTTTCATAGTATTTTTGGTTGAATGCTTAGGATATTTTGTGATGTGTAACATGTGGTGTGTGTTTTGAACAGCGATTCCATCAAGCTCGTGAACCTGTGCTCTATATTTATAAGCACATGGCTGACCGCTGCCGGCTTCATACATTTGGTAAGTAATCTGCTTAAACATTGCATAGAATGGCAGACTGGGTGGCTCTGTGTACTAGTGATTATGGAGAAGAACTCCAGACCAGTACATTGTGGGTTCGTATCCCAAGGCAAATGGCACAGAACCCATTAGTAACAAACAAAGAAATCTTGTTAAAAATGTAATCTAAAATATTATTCTTAATCCTGTGAGAGGTCCCTCTGCAGTATATTTTGGAAGGGCAATATGCCCTTTGTTTTGCATGCTTATTAGCATAATTGTTTTGTTCGCAAAATTGTATGTTTATGGAGGGCATAAAGTTTAACTGCCACTAGGTGGTAGCATAACCCCGGAATTACAAATAAGCCATTCAATGCTGAGGTTGTTGATATTTGTTCAGTATCATTAGCAGATGACTTGTTTGTAACATTTTACTCATTCCCTTTTGTAACAGTTTAAGTCCTCATTACAAGAATTGAATTAATTATACATGAAATTACATTAACATTTAATTTTTAGTATTGAGTTGATGTTTGAATGTAGCAAGAGCTGTGTTCATTTGAAATTCTTTTTTTTTCTGTTTAACAATATGTATGTTACAGGTGGAAAACTCAGGGGACCCTTGGGAGAACTTCCAAAATTCCCAAGTACTTAACTACTGGGAATGTGTGTACTTACTCATGGTTACTATGTCCACCGTGGGATACGGCGATGTTTATGCGAAAACTGCGCTTGGTCGCCTGTTCATGGTGTTCTTCATCCTCGGTGGCTTGGTAAAAAAAAAAAAAAAAAAACTTAATCTTTTACTTGCTTGACGTGTTTATTGTCAATTACTTTTTGTAATTGTTGTAATTTTAATCAGTATAGCTACAAAAAAGTGACATGATTCCAATTGATATCTATTAGCATGCATTTCAGGCAGTAATTAGTAATGGTTGTTATATTTTTACTAATTTGTTTATTGTTTGTTGTTTTACTTATGATGTAAATTAAGACGACACTGTAGTTTTAGATAGTCAGCAATTGCAGTAGAGTTATATGTTAATACAAGTGTTGTTGTATGTTTCATGCATGTCTGTATACGTGTTTCCACTGGTGCCAAAGCGGAGATTTGTTTGTCACAGTGTAATGATATGGATTGCTGCTATTTTTAAGGCAGCATGCGGTTTTAGGAGATCCCACCCTTCAGTGTCCCTTCCCAAATGCCAACAAACACCGTGACGGGGATGACACATAGGGCAGCTTGAGAGCCAGCGCTAGGCGTCAGCCTCGGGGCCTGCTCAGCATTAGCTGCAGACCACAATCGCTGTCAGAGGCTCAAGGGCGCAAAAATAAATAAATAAACAAACATGTTTATGGCCGTTTTAATTAAATCCATACACACCGAGTCGCTACATGTCATGCTATTTCTGTAGCGACTCTCGTAATTTTATTTTATTTTTTTGTTTTGGAGAATGTCGAGCATCTCGTTAAAGTCACTTGCTCGACTTTTTCATCAGAAGGCCAATTAATTATTTCCTTGTTGAAATGCAGTAAATTGTCAGCTTCGAGCGAGGCAGCGTCAGAATATACGTTAAAATTCGAAATGGCAGTGTCCTAACACTGTACTGCTGTTCTCCTTTCTCCAAAGGATTTTCTGTTTGGGTATTACATTAACTGAGATTACAGTTGTGTCATTTAAGAGACCAAATGTAGCTATAAAGTTAGCAAAATGCATGTTTCTTGCTTTACGGGCCTCCTAATGGCTCTTAATGCATTTTGCATCTACAAAACATCAAGCTGCACTATTGACATCAATCTGGCACTAATGTTTGTTGGACAAAACATGGCTTTTAGTTATTTTTCCCCTTCTTTTCAATACAATTTGATTTTTTTAACCTTACCTCCACTCAACCCAACACTCCCCAACCCCCTACCCATAAAAACGGGGGCTTTATCTTAAAATTATATCTTTTTATCAATGGATTACAACCCATATAACTTTCTTCTGTGTGTTACATTTATTTTTTCTCTTTTACAAAATTCGCCCTTTCACAATGATGACTTTTTTGTCAGACATTTTTATACTTTATTTAAAGATATATCCCCCCTGTTTTTCTCGGATTGTGTGTGAAGAAGTATTTTCTCCTTGTCTTACAGCTATAACTGGAACATTTACCCCCCCCCTGCCTGTGTCTATTTGTTTTAGTCTTTTCTTCTGTCTCCTATCTTCTCCTTAGGCCATGTTTGCCAGCTACGTCCCTGAAATTATAGAGTTAATAGGAAACCGCAAGAAATATGGTGGTTCCTATAGTGCGGTTAGTGGGAGAAAGTAAGTATTCCAGGAGGCTCTGCTGCCTCTGCCGCGGTGTAGCGCTCGCTGCATGCCATTTTCTTTTTCTGTTCCATGCATGTAGGCCATGTTTGCTCGCTACGTGCCAGAAATTGCCGCTCTCATCCTTAATCGGAAGAAATACGGCGGAACCTATAACTCAACTCGGGGCAGAAAGTAAGTCGAAAGCAGATGAGGTGTGCTTGTGTGACCCAGGTCCCTTCCAGGGGACTTTGACTCTGACTTGCTGTGATGTCAGATTTTTCTATCGGAAAAGTCACGCTGTGACTGGAGGCCTCGGCCGCGGGACGCACTCTCATGTCACACCGTTGCTGCTTGCTGGTGTCCGTTTTGCATCGTTTTCTTTTTCACATCCTCATTTTTTTTCCCAGTTCACATTCCTTCGTTTGAGCTTTTCTGCCTCTGCTGTTACTGTGGACATGAGCGTAAATTATGCCCCCCCCCCAATAAATCAAAACCGGCTAAAACAACCCCCCCCCCAATAATCATGTTTCCCCCTAAATGGGTGGAGAACTCAACCCCCCCCCCCCCCCAGTGTTCAAACCAAAGCCAAATTTATTTTTTAATTTATAGATTACTATGTATTACTAAATTATGCTCTATGTGGCAGTCATCACAATTTAACACCATTTCTGATTTAAATATATGTCTAGTTTTCTTATGCCCTATGTCCTACGATTGGCTGTAAGCTCAGTCCCTGTCATTGCCTTGAATTCATTTGTTTATTCAAGAATATTGACACTGTGGATTTCCAGGGCGTTTTTTGTGCCTTGTCTCCTGTGTGTTTCCCACTGCTGATTTGCACATTTGGCCCTGATCTTCAGTCATTCCTGCACCCCAGGTCCCTCCACGCCTCGATTCTCTGAGCAAAGCCTGTAGTTGCTCTTGGCTTGCTTGCTTTTCTTTGTTCTTTGTGTACTGTTGTTGTAGCTACAGTATGCTTTGTAGGTTACTCTTAATGTCTGAGTCATTAATCGGAATTTCCATAGCTTCCTGCCGCAGCCTCCGCATCAGCACGTAGATTATCTTATTTATGCCGAACTCCGACAGCTGTTACGACATCACTCTCCAGAATATCTGAAGCGGGCTTTGGTCACGTTTAGCTTTCATCGTGTCGGTTAAAATGGAAAAAAGGGAATACTGAAAAAAAGCCATTAGCACAATTTAAAGACAATTTTCATGTCAGTGAAAGAAGATTAATGAAATGCTATGTTTGGCTTGTGTTCACCATTTGGATATGAGGTCTGGCGTTGAGGGGACTGATTTTCAAAGGCTCAGAAATCTGCTCTCACATATCTGCATGTGATATTAATTACACTGGTGAGGTGAAGTATGTGGATATACATATATAAAATAAGTTGTGTTTTCTCTAAATTAAAGCCAGCAGAATTAAAATATATCATGAATTAAATATTCAGAATCTGCAAAGCCCCTTGCTGGTACATTATTATTATTATTATTATTATTATTATTATTATTATTATTGTCAAAAGCTCCAGTATGATCATTTAACTTTGTTTCTACATATAGTGAAAGTGAAATATCATTACTAATAATATACAGTGGTACCTCAGAACTCGAACTTTTTAAAATAAGAAAATAAATGTATCCAAACAATGTGT